CAGAGGTCAGGGATGGAGTGGTCCATGGTGGACTTCACCAGCCCCGCCGAGAGCCTGGGGACAGGGAGAGGCGCTCAGCGGAGGGATCCCGAGGGGTTCCTCGGGGAGACCCCGTGGGGCCCCGGTGGGGTGGGAGTGGGCACTGCGGCCCCGCGATCTCACCGTTTGACCATGTGCTCGTAGATCACGGTGGGGATGATGGTCAGTGTCACCACGTTCCCGGCCCCTGCCAGCACCTCCATGAGCTGCTTATCCTGCGGGAGAGAGAGTGGGGGTCCCGTGGGGTGCCCGGCTCTGCCCAGCACCCCATGGCAGCCCTGGCTGGCTCCTGGGCACGTTCTGCCCCGTTGTATGTGCTCAGCCCCTACCTTCATGCCGATGACATTCTGGCCGTTCACCTCGCAGATGTAGTGGTGGGTGAGGAGGCCGTTGCGGGCAGCAGAGCTGTCCTTGGCCAGCGACACGATTTTCCCCTTCTTGACCACGATGCCGACGTGGCCAGTGCTGTCCTTGTGCACGGTGACGGTGCGTTGGAAAGGCCTGTGAGATGGAGAAGGTGGTCAGTCCTGGCACCTTCGGGGACATCCCCTGGCCACCCGGCCAACTCACCTGTCCCGCACCACCATGACGATTTTCTCTGGGGACGCCTTCTTCAGCACCCGCTGCGCCTTGTCGCTGCTCCAGCCCGTGCAGTTCTTGCCGTTGATCTGCAGGATCTGGTCACCGAAGCGCAGCCCCACCAGTGACGCCGGCGAGTTGGCCTTCACCAGCTGCACAAAAATGCCCTGGGGACACAGGAGGGAGTGATGGCACCGGGGACTGGGAAGCTGTGCCACGCCATGCCATGCTGTGCCATCAAATGCCACACGTTGCCATGCCATGATGCACCACACCATGTCACCCTGTGCTGTACTGTCATGCTTGTGCCATGATGTGTCATGCAACGTCATGCCATGCTCCCTCGTGCCATGCCATGGTGCACCGTGGCCGAGCTGTGCCATGCTGTGTGCCCCACACAGTGCCATGCCATGGTGACCACGCCAGGGTGAGGTGCACCATAACATGGCAGGGAGGAGCATAACATGACATTGCATGATGTGCCATACCATGCCACATTGTGCCATGCCATGGTGTGCCATGCCATGGTTCACCACACTGTCCTGTGCCGTGATATAGAATCATAGAATCATCTAGGT